GTCCACTAGTAGTAAGTTTAATTGGTTTCCAATCATTCTTATCAATGCTACTAAGAATGTTGTGGCTTAAGCATTTAATACAAAGGATAAAGAGATAAGGTGAGAGAGGATCCCCCTGTCTAATGCCACGTGTTGGAAGAAATTTGCTTGTTAGTTCTCCATTCCAGAGGATTCTTAGAAGAGTGGTAGAAACGGCTGTCATGATAAGCTTCCTAAAATTCTCATTGATTCTAATAATATATAGAGTTTCTTCAATAAAATCCCAAGAGAGTCTATCAAAAGCCTTTTCAAGGTCAATTTTGAGGGCCATGAAACCCTTTTTCCTAGCTTTTTTTCTTATAGAGTGGATGATTTCTTGCACGATGATAATATTGTCGCTACTTTACCTTCCCTGTAAAAAGCTATACTGGTGGTCTCCAATAAGATGATTCGTACATTGTCTCAGCCTATTAGAGAGGATTTTGGTAATAACTTTGTAGTTAACATTGCATAGGGATATAGGGTGAAAATCTTTCATGCAATTAGGGTTTTCATTTTTAGGGATAAGGGTGATAAAAGTGTCATTGATGTCGCCAATGGCAGTAGGATCTGTAAGGACTTTCTTGACAAGTTGATTGATGTTATCCTTAAGATCATTCCAATAGCATTGAATGAACCCTGTATTAATACCATCAGGACCATGAGCTTTGTAGGCACCAATATCAAAAGATGCATTTTTAATTTCTTCTTCAGTAACCTCTCTATGAATGGATTGCAATTGAATAGGGGTTAGAGAAGGAAAGCTTCTTTCAAATAACAATTTTAGTTTAACTTGAGTATCTTCTTTGAAGAGGTTTTCAAAGTAAGAAACAGCCTAGTTTTTAAGAGTATGTTGATCAAAGATCCAATTACCACTCTCGTCTTGAAGAGATATAATATGGTTTTTTTTTCTCCTAATGATAGTAGTGGAATGGAAGAACTTAGAATTCTTGTTGCCCCATTTTAACAATTTGCATTTAGATTTTTGAAACCACAGAAGCTCTTCTTAGAGTAGAATTTTATTATAGTCCTCTTAAAGCAATTTTTTAAGTTTTCTAAGGAAGTAGTTGTCTTTGGAGGTTTTATTGCGATCAATTCCTTCAAGTCTTCTCAAAATCCTTTTTTTGTTGGCTGTAATACTACTTATATTATTTTTGCTCCATAGAGAAGCAAAGGTGGCAAACTTGAGGGCTCCTTATTTCTAGTCATTACCAGCCCAAGAGTCTTTAACAACATTCTGAAAAGATTCTTCTACCATCCACGCAGCATGGCATTTAAAAGGTTTATCTTGAGATCTAGAATTCTTAGTATTCTCAAGTTGGATTCTGATTGAGCGATGGTCAGAGCCATATTTAAGAAGATGTAAGGAATTCGCTTGGTTAAATTTAAGTCTCCATTCAATGTTGCAAAAAGACCAATCAAGTATTTCCTTAATGTTGTCTTTCTCCCAATTGAATCTTTCCCTAACAAAATTTAGTTCAATGAGATTGGAAGAGTTAATACAATGTATGAACTATTTCATAGATCTCTAGTTATAACCATTTCCCCCACTCTTGTCTTCACAGGAAAGGTAAGAGTTAAAATCCCCAATAATGAGCTAAGGTTCAAAGATAGTACTGGCAAGATTGATTATGGAATTCCACAATTGATCATAATTGCAAGAGTTAAGATCACTATAAACACAAGAAAGAAGCTAAGAGGTCTTTTTTGAGAGGTGATTAACTTTGCAATGAAGAAGTTGGACATTGGATTAAATATAGTCAGTATTCACCACATCATTGTTCAAAAGTATGTAGATAACCCTAGCATAACCAGTTGCTTCAATGCGAATCCAATTAGAGAAACCAAGTTTCCTAACAATTTTATCAGCTCTAATACCACTAGGTCTAGTCTTAAGAAGAATGAGAATTTGAGTGCTATAAATATTAGTAATATCTCTAATTTTAGAAGGAAAACTTTTAGCACAAGCTCCCCTACAATTCCAACAGATTATATTCATAATTAAAAATTAAAGGAGGAAAGAAAGAACTTGCAAATATTAGGTGTTAGATTTAAAGATTGAGTCATTACTGAACTCATCACCTTCTAGTCCATTATCAATTGAAGAATGCTCATAATCTTTCAATAGGAGGTTATCTTTAGCATCATCCTCAATGAAATTCATCTCTCTTATGTCTACATATTTCCCTAAAGCAGTAGTCTGATTATTAATTTCCATACCATCATTATTGTGGAATTGTGTTTCTGAGACGTGGCTTGATGAATTTCTTGGGTCTAGGGGCTTATTCTAGTCAATATTTGGAGTAATAGCATGACTTGAACTTGGCATAGAGTCCACATTTTTTTGTGTAGCATGGAATTCATTCCAGATGTTTGGATTTGGTGCGTAATAATATGCATTATTCTTACTATAGATGGACTTTGTGTGATTATTTTTTATCAGTATCTGCTTATTTGAGCCCATGTCCCTTTTGTTGCCTTTAACAACCAAGTGGATCCGATTATTGGGTTTAGAGGCAATGCTATTGGGCCTTGATTCCTTATGGGTAATAAGGTCTTCATTCATCTTATGGGGCTCGTCCCAGCTAAATACTAACCTATTCATTTGGACCTTCTTTTTCCCCTTTTTCGAATATAGGTCCTCTTCTTTATGCGTTTCATTACCGGTGGCTTCATCATTTTTTATCAGTCAAGATCTCTTGGAGCCTGACAGATCTTTTCTCCTCCATACTTGTCTAACAACCTTTGTTGTAGAGGGATTAGTAGGTGCAATGTTATGAGAGCTGGTCTTCCTATATCTGTCATTACCGTCTGTGGTCTAGTATAGATTAGCTAGAATATCAAATCTGGATTTGGTGGAGACGTTCGTACCTCGGTTTGGGTGAAGGGTGTGAGAATTTTGGTCGATTCTACCATCCGTTGCAAACTTTATGAATCGGGCTTGATTTGGTCTTCGGACCTTCATCCATTCACCGCAATCATCTACTAGTAAGGTTTGTTCAGAACTTTTTGATGATTTCTATCTGGTCATATTCATCTGAGCATTTGAAGTTCCCTACTCCTCCATCTAGTTCTTCGAATGATTTGAATCTGGTTTTCCTCTTACGATTGTTTATGTGTTCTTCAGGTTAAAAGGGCAATTGTTCTTGTTATGCCCATAACAGCCACAATAGAAGCAAATAAGGTTTAGACTTTCATATTCAACATTATAAAGAGTATCTCTTATGAGTATTCTTGGGACAAGTTTTTTCTGTAGATCAATTTCCACACTGATTCTGGCAAATTTCCCCCCTTTTCATTTTTCCCGTTGAATCTTTAGTCTTGGCTTCTGCAAGAGTATTAGCACTAACTTTTAGAGTTTTGTCAGTGCAATTTTCCATTCTCCACAAAATTTACTTTTCATAATACTAGATTGGGATATTTGATAATTGAACCCATAGAGCCACTTTGCTCAGGGAGTTGGTGTTTGGATTGAATTGAGAAGTCCATCGTTAGACCAGAATGTAGTGATAAAACATAGTCCATGGTCCACCATTGAGAATTCTCACATAAGCCTCAGTATTTTTCATGCAAACAATGTAAGTATTTTTCATGCAAACAATGTAATAATTGTTAACTAAATCAATCGATTCAAAGTCTTTTAAATTCCACATCTTTGCTAGTCTGGGTTTAAGTGATCTTGGATGGAATTGTATACCAAGTGTGTTGATAACCAAAGCATCCATCCAAGGTATACAGATATTCTTCCATTCAAGATCTGAGATTGGCACCATAGGAAATCTCTCCATTAGCTTTTTTATAGTTTCAGATGGGTTCCACTCTTCATCCAATTCCTTAGCAAGAGTTTCATTTATGTAGTTGGTGCCTCTGGCTTCATTGTTCCCATAACATCCATTGTAACCAATAAGTGAGTCTTTGTATGATATAGGAGCTTTGAAGGCTTTAATTCCTTAGATCATGTGAACTTTGTTTGCATAAGCTTCCTGCTCTTGATCTTTTCCAGTTTGTATTTCCATTGGTTGAACACTGATAGGTGTTGTTTCTTTACCTGTTGCATGACTGTCCATAAGCTGATTTAGAATCAGAGTAGTTTGAGCAAGTTCTTGTCCTTTATCCACTATTTCTTCGTCTGGTTTTGTGGCATTCCTGTTCAGTAAATCAGCTTCTTCTTTTGAAACAGGAGGGTCCAGGGTTTTGTTTAGATTTGCTGGAGCAGCAAAGACAAAGTTGGGATCCAAAGCAGTGTGATTGTTCATGGAGAATCAGAGAGCTAGTCGACAGCATGGATGACTATAATTAACTTTTTTAATGTATATCCAAATGGGTCAGGTTTCGGACACTGATACCCTACGTTAGATGATCAGAACACAAACAAGAGATATGTTACTCGCTCTCTTATTCAGGTGTAGTCAAACATACGGTGGAGAATTATGCCTAGTCTTGTTTGGGAACCTAAGGAATGGTACGATGTCTCGAGAAAGGAATTAGTACGGCACATGAGAGAGAAATTTTTACATGTATTTGATGCACTACCTTATTCTCTCTGATTAAGTTACATCAATTCAATTAAATAAAATATTATGTATGATTATTTTTAATTATTTTATTTTTTAGAATGAAATGGCTTTTTAATTTATTGCATTTTTTATTTCTGCTATTATTAATAATAGAATCAATTTATATTAATAGTAATTTAAATAATATATTTTTATTGAATGGAGTAAGAACAACATGGTGTTCTTCGTTCACACAAGAATTTCTTCAAGAGAGAATGCTCTTTCAATATCTTAGGCATCTGCTGGAAGTGAATCATAATTACATCAATTATATATATGAATAATAAAGATACATATCTTTTTTTTAAAAAAAAACCTATCATTAATGTCTTATATTGAGGGTAATTTTGAAATTTTACAAGAAATAACTAATTTTAACAGACTTATGTAAAGTTGTTAGTTTCTTATAGAAACGACCAATGGGAGTAGTTTTATATTGGGAATCACAAACAAAACAAGAAAGGCCATAAAGATATTTCATTCAGTGAGGAGAGAGAAAGAGTTCTTAGCTACTACTCTATACATTTCTTTATAGTAAAGTCATTAAATTACTTATGGGAGAGAACCCAAACAACATTGTCTTGAGGAAGGAAGTGACACACAAGAACACTCCCGGGCTTCACTTTTAGCACTTGGAAGGCCAAATGCTTAGGGTTCCACTCTGATGTGTCTGTGTGACATAGAGACACTGCTTTTACTTCAGTCCCATCAGCCCCCACCAAAGGCACCGTATAAGCAATTGTGGTCTCTGTTTTGTGACAATAAAACAAAGCATAGATGTAGTTGAGCTTGTGGCACACCACCACTTTTGCCTCTCCGACCTTCTTCGCTCCTAGCGTTATTGTGTATTCTTGCTTCTTTGTCTCCTTCTTCATCACCTCTGTAGACAAAGCTTCCACGTTCTTCCCAAGCTTCAAAGTGATAAAATCAACCATGGATTCTAACGACGTTGCACAGTACTTCTCCTCTCCTTTAACCCCTGGCTTCTCACACATTTCAATAGTTTCTTTCAAAACCTTGGCTTCTGTTGACCCAGGCTTCACAGAAAATTCTTTCAATATCTGAGCCACCTGCTAGTAATGAATCATATAATTACGTCAATAACATGTGTGATAATTAAAGAATAATGAATCTTACGTAGCCAATAGCCTTGTAGCCTAATAGCATGTGTAATGTCACGTTTCGTGACTAGCCCCGTGACAGTAAGCTCTCTTGTAAATATCACGGATGGTAGAGATAGCAGGACTAAATAGAATGAATCCTACGTACGGTACCTTGCTTGAAGAAAAGGGAACAGATTTCACGACTTCATGAGGAAGCAAGGAGGACTGGTTGGAGGTCTGTGTGAAGTGAAAGTTCATTTTGTGACCAGGCTTCATGTCCTCTTCCAAGAAGAAGAGAGTTGTGTTTGGGATATTATGGAGTTCTTCGTTGTCGGAGTTAGCATAAATGAAAGTTGGCCGATGAAGAGTACTGTTACCTCTAAGATGGATGGTTGTGTTATCCCCTGGCTTACCAACAATAACTTATAGCACATGTTAATGGAACGTAATGAAAGTTACAAAGTTCATCCTACGTACAAGCCATGAATAACTAAGTCCCAAGATAGTGCACACGCGCGCGCATAACACTAACCTGTTGAGTGGAGGAGTTCTGAGATGAATTTAGGCATGGAAGTGGCGGGAAGCATGGACTTCCAGTAAAGTTCAGGAGGTAAAGCAGCATGTGTTGCTACCAATGCAACCTGAAATTATTGCATTTGTAACATGTCAATATGTAGTGAAATTAGTTTAGTATATAGGACCCAAAAAAGATGATAACAGGAAAGGTTATTAAGAAATAATACATCGATGAGTAGGAGTAAAAACTTCATTATTGGAGAAATTGCAAATGATATGGATCGATGATAATGAAAAGGAACTGAGAGGAAGTTTATAAAGAGGGAAAGGAAAATGCTCTTCAGACGGCTCCAGTCCTGGATGTCAATACAGCCATTATCATAAATATCCTGACGATTCGGATACCATAGATCATCTATGAGTGGTCTACAATTTTTAAAAATTAAAATATTATTTGAATAATAACATTTAAATCATTCGCCAGCTAGATATTTCCCCCAGGATGAACATATATATGCATTTTTTTTTATGAAAACATGAAATCAATATTTTATGATGAATAAGAGTAAGCAAAAATATTCATACAAAGTATTTAAAGAATAAAAGAGTTGTATCAAAAAATAAAAGAGTTTATTAATATATCATAAAATAATATTTATTGATTATTAATTATTATTTTCATATTGAATGTTGTTTAAAATTCATCCATACATGCATTAAAAAATTTAAAAGAAATCCCCTAAATTATAAATAATGTGAGTAATTTTACAATTTCTTCGCAACTGCTTATGATAGGTTTCGGCCACGACAAGAGAGGATGAGGACCGGTGAATTATATTGTGCGCCACCCTTTGGGCCCCACCCTGACAAAATACTTAGTAAAAATCGATCAAGACCTTCAAAACATATAAAATTGTACTTTGAGCTTTCTAATAATGCACTGCAGGCTTAAAGGTCCTTATTATAATTTGTGTTGAAAGCAAAAGTATAATTTTGCCTCTCTCAAAACAAACCAAGTACAATCTGATCTTCTTCATCCTCTCCTCTTCCTCTCTCTTCCTTCTCTCTTTGATTTTCCTCTTTATCTTCCTCTTCCACCTCATAGCATTGCATCACAATTTCCCAATTCTTCCATTCCCTCCTTCATCTTCTCAATCTCCATCTTACAATGAGCTAACATACAAGAGCTAGGTTCTGCACATCTTGATCTCGCTGCCTTTACTATTGTCCCCAAACAACTTTTGCATATCACTCTTCCTAAATCAATAGCCATTGTTTCGAGATGAGCACTGTTGAGCTCCTTAGCATCAAACTTCTAAAACTCAAGTTTCCTTGTAAGTTTTATTTTGAAATAAATGTTTCCAGGATTTCTAGAATTTATGGGAACTGCTACAAGAGCTACAAAAACTAGAACTTGCCATCACTAAGTTGTGAATATCTAAATTCAGAAATTTTAGATCTAAACTTTGAATTTGTGAATTGCTGAACCTATGTTTATGAATATTTGGACTTTAAGTTGCAAATTTATGAACTTTGGGAGCACTTCAACTCTGAACCTTTACTTGTCAAGATATGGACTTTTACTTGTGCATATTTGAACCTATACTTGTAAATATTAAGACTTTACATTTTTGAACTTTGCTTATTTGTGTAAGAGTATAAAATGGTTCGAGTGTGACATTTTGTACTGGCTAGTGGAGCATCCCAATAACATCAAAGCTCAAATGAAAATAATAGGGAGGATGGCTTCTACATCTCACTATGTAATAGCATTCGTTGGAATTTCAACTTCTGATCTTCTGATAGTCAAAGATTGGATTATGTATTGTAAAAACATAAACATTATTTTGTTAATATTGAATATTTAATTGTAAATTATCCAAATATGATGTATATATATATATTCTTGAAAATTCAATGACTTTGCCCTTAATGCCTCGGTGGAGATATTATCTGCAGTTGATGAAACCTACTTCTTATATTATAAAAAAGTTAATGAATAACATTTTATGGTATGCATAGATGAAATGATGTGCCGTGAGAAAAGGTTTGTAGAGTAGTCATCCTATAAAGAACATACAAAATAGGTCCCACATTAACAAATTTTATTGACCTTATTTGTCATACACATTGTAATATTGAGGATTAGGTTTGATGGATGAGCAAATGCAAAGACTTTTTTTTTGTTTCAAATATAATTAAATTAACGACATCATATCTAGAATAGTTATCAACGAAGCATTGAATGTCATGATACTCTAAACCATAATTAATAACAACAACAACAACAATAAATCTAAAATTTGAATAATCTCATTAACTTGGTAATTTGATTATTTCTTATAAATTTAAAAAGCTGGTGAGAAACAATTGGAAAATGTGTAAAATTGGTTCTACTGCTTTGAAACCGGCCATCATATGTAATGGAATTTTTCTTTGGTTATGTTTTTCATTTCCTTTGCGCTCGTACACACACGCACACAGTGCAAAATTAGCCTGACACAATCATATACATGAGGCATAGAATGAGTCCAATAATAAAGACTATAAAGTCCAAGCATTTATATGTTATTATTTATTTAATTCTTGTAATATACTGAAGAATAAGTCCGCAAATAGTTAGGCAACAAAGCGCTAGCATAACACATACAATAACTCATGTTATTTTGTTTTGGTTTCTTAAGATTTACTTTAAACTTCGAGACTGTCGCTTCTTTCAAAATCCACATTCATAGTCATTATGTTACCTCAACTATTCACACCATTAATTGATAATTTTTTCACACGTTCCCTATTTTATTTGCAAAAGGTATACCCTACATAGATCTGTATAATAAAAAGGAAAAAAAAAACTACTCCATCCATTCTCAAATATAAGATACAGTTAGGGGTCTAGTAGAATATAAATGTCCAAACGTGAGCTGTTGATGTGAGAGGTCCCACATTAGACATATAAATTTAGACTTAATAATTAATATATAATAAAGTAAAGTGAAACAATCTATACACATAAGTTTTGAAATTTTGAATTAAGACATGATGTCTCTTCTACTTCTCATCAACTATTTGTTCATTGGATTAAAGTGAAAAACACACCCATAAAAATTGTGGATTTGATCCAAATCCACACACGCTACTAACAAAAGCATATATTGATTTTCATGTCGAACTGATTAGTATAATCGAACTTAAGCACCGGGCAAAAACAAAAAAAAAAAATCGGAGCAAAACTTAAAAGCTAGACTTTTCGTTGCCATTCAAGTATATCCCTCGATTGGGATGATCGATCCCATTGTCATTCAAGTCATTATTTACTTAAAAATCAATAAAGAATAACAAAATTGAATGATGATAGTTTACTCTATTTTAAAGTTTGATATCTTGAGATGAGCTTAGAATATTCAAAATAATTTTATTTGGTCAAATACTCAAACGTTAATGACCCGTGTTTGACTTGTAATAATCGCGTTGATGACTCGATAGCGCCAGACGTGCACTGAAATTGGGAGAAAAAATGAACACTGATTGTTTTTTTCCCAAACTTGACTTGGAATAATTGGAAAACTATGAACAACTACAAAAACTTTTCTTTGTGATGTGATATAGACATGGAAATGCATTAAAAGAAACCACACATGGCTCCAAAAAATGAATGCGTTATTTTCTACGACGATTTGGACAAAAAAAAAAAAGGCAAAATGAAGAGTGGAAGACTAAAATGACTTGTCCATGCCAGCTTTGTTACAACTTATAATGAGGGGCAAAAGCAAATTTTGGGATTCGGATTCTATCATTTTCCAATCAATCTGAGTGGTTTATATCTACTTCGTCAATTATAACAGATCCAAATGGCCCCAAAAAGACATCGTGCGTCATGCAGTTTTTATTAAGTTTAATTTTTTTAATTAATGATATGAGAGGATTGTCTTTTATAATTTAAAGATATGTGATATTATCTTATATTTAAAAACTAAACACATTCTTCCTATTTAAAAAAATTAAGAAAAGAAAATGAAAATTTTATTATATTCTTATATCAAGGGTATTATTGTCATTTGATCACACTTTTTCCATTCTCATATTATTTTTATTCAGCCAAGTATGAAAATGAAATGGAATATTTATTGATTTCGATGATATATATATATATATATATATTTCACTTTTATTTTGATACAAGAATTACGGCATGTTATATACATTGCTACTTCTATGGAAAAGAAAGAATTCTACATAAGCAAAATGGTCAATCAAACATGACAGAAACTATTGTCATGCATCAGATGCATATCTACCTTTACAATATTATTATTGATCCTAAGGGTTAACCCTATAACTTTTATTTAACTAAAGGTGCAAATTTAATCATAGACTATTTTTTTCAAGAGCATCCAGTAGCACAAACTATTAAGTGGTGCAAAATAAATCATAAACTTTTAAAAATGGAGCATGCAATAGCTCACTATTAATTTTAGTTGACGAATATTATGTGGCGGCCACAATAACACGTGGCACTCCATAAGCACTCCGTATCAGCATGTGTAAAAGTGTAAATTTAGCAATTAACTATTTGTCGAGAAGCATTGGGTAGCCTCAATTATAAAAAATGGACCATCATCCAACGTCATCTCATTAATTTTGACCAAAACACCATTTATTTTTAGGATTATGAGATTCACAATGAATTAATCTCTTCAATTTTCTCACTTTCGTTCTCAGTCTCAATTCAAGAAGATGTTTAAAAAGTTTTTATTTGAAGACATTCACGAAAATGATGCTAACAAAGTAAAAGAAATAATTCATGGCCAAATTAAGCTAAAATGAAGCTTCTCCTATACATAGTATTCTAAGGGTTAAGCTTCTACTTCATTGGCATCACCATTGTGACTATCTTCAGATAAAAACTTCTTCTCGACCTAAGACTAAGAATTAAGGCAAGAAAATTAAAAAGACTGATGTATTGTGGGTCTTATAAGTTTAAAAATAAATAGTGTTTGGTCAAAATTGATGGGATGGAGTTGGATGTTCTATTTTTTACAATTGAGGCTACCCAATGCTCCTCAAAAAATAGTTCGTAGCTAAATTTGCTTCTTTCAAGCTGATGTGAAGTGTTCAAAGAGTGCCATGTGTCATTGTGTAATGTCTGTCAACTAAAGTTAACAACAGGCTATTAAATGCTCTATTTTTTAAAGTTTATAATTTATTTCATACCACCTAATAGTTAAAGCTACCAAATACTCCTAGAAAAATAGTATATGGCCAAATTTGCACCTTTACCCTTTAACTATATATAGGGATTTTCTTCAAAAAAATATTAAAACTAATTAGAAATTTTGGATGTTTTTTATTTTGTTTC